TACCATGTCTGATTAAAAATCATCATTGGTCCGCCACTATCTCCTTGACAAGTACCTGTGAAGAAAAGGTAGAACTTTATATAGTCGAGACTAAAGAAATAAGAGAATAAAATGAACCTTTTCCTCCACAGACTATTCCAGCACAGAATTGGAAATTCCAGTCAATAATTACTGGAGTACAAGTCGGATCCGAATGAGAAACAGTTTTCAACGCTACTTGCTGAAGAGTACTTGATGTTAAAAACATATGTTCCACTAATCTCCCCCATCCAATAGCAATGATCTTAAAAAAGATATAAAATGACAATCAGAATATGACAGAACAAGATAAATAACAACTAGGTTCAGTGTGAGGGAATCAACGAAGACCGTAACCTAAGTTTAAAGTAAAATACTTCATAATCTTAATTCAATTATACATTCTGGAATAGTTTTCCCTAGAATGTGACTACAATTCAAAAACTAAAACGATAGGGAGACGAATGAAGATCAAAAAGAATTTTACCTGGATCGAGACTACGAGTAAAACAAACTTAATCTCATGTATCTTTAGCTGCACGACATTAGACGCGTAGGAAGTGAGTGTTCTCCTGGCGTGGGGTTGTGGATGCAAGTACTAGCATGGATGAGAAGCAAATCGTCAGTTACACAGAGACCAACACTCACATCCGCATGGACATAGAACCATTATTTATGCAAGGCTTCAAACTTACCGTAGTGTTAGGAGAAGGCCAATCTTCGGCAGCTAGTGTCGCTGCACTGACGAATGGTAAACAGACACTATCTAGGCCTGCGATTGTCAGATTTAATGGAGTCCCCAGTTTAAGAAGAGCAATATCATGTATAAAACCACTTTCGTTGTAACCAGGATGTATGTATACTGTAGATGCTGACACAATTCGATTACCCGAAAATCGATAAATACTTCCGGCGTACACTGTAACTGACGTTGTGCCTGAAGGTATGCAATGAGCAGCAGTGAGTATCCATGTGCTAGAAAGAATCGATCCACCACATTGAAAACTTCCATTAATTAGAAGGAATACTGCCCATCCCCATGTATTTGAACTCGCTGTTTCTCCACCAACGATTCTGCTCAATGTAACTGAGTTGGCCGAACAACCACATGCAGCACTGGCATTACACGAGTAGGTAGTTTGACCAGCCAATCGAAGGCTTATGAGAAGGATAACAAACAGCTTAATATGAATGGAGAAAATCATTCGAGAGAAAAGCATGAAGGCTATTCCTGCGGAATAAAAAAAAGAAACAGGATTCAGTCGTTTTAATCCAAAATACAAATGATTCCTAAAAACGATATGCTGATAAGGCAACATTGCCTTTGAATATATCAGAGACTATTTTAGGATCATGATCTTATTATGAGTAGTAGGCGTGAGTTTGGAAGATAGGGACAGTGTGACTGTATGACTAAAGTTCTTTTTTTGATTCGTAGTCACACCCTTATCGATCTCTAGACTCACGTGAATTTCTCTTCACAGACGTACGTAGGCTTTCATCCACAAACTCTAAGACTCATTTCGTTACCTAATCAATGCTTATATAAACTAGATACGCATGCTTCATGGAAAATATTGGAACAGTCAGTTTGCCAAAAATAACTTCTTTAAAAAGGTAAATTATGACAACAGTAATTGTATATTCACATGGGACTCAGATGTTTTGAGGATTCTATATATAAATACTTTGATTTGTACTTATTTTGTGTAAATTCTTTTTGAGTACAATTGAGACAATCCCTATCTTTCTACTCTCCCGTATTGACTTATTTTCCTTTCTCAATAATTTGTTTCTAGTTCAGCATGATCGAAGAAAAAACATCTATAAAAAAATGATTAGATAAACTAAAAGTACTTGAAATTCGCTATCACTTATATTATGTTCCTTTTTGATTTTCAACTAATTAGTTGAATCAAGAATGCTTTGATTGTTTCCAACGTACCGTCAGCATAGCAGGCTGACCAATGTATTTATGTACGTGCAACGCCAACACATGGTTGATTCTCGAAAAAACACAAGATTTATATGGATAAATCTGGATGTCACAATCCTAATTCGAATGCTTGTCGTCGCTATCATAAGCTTATGTAATAAATTTAGTTGGCACTTTTTATTTAGACTTATGAAACGGGAATAGTGTTGAAGAAAAGTAGTCCACATCAATTTTATAGGGATGCCACAATTAACATGAAATATGTTTAATCATCAAAATAATACTGGACATTGTTTCCTTTCTAGTACTTGATGACTAATCCATTTAGTAGTCAACCCTGAAAATTTCAGCTCGATCAGCGGTTTCAGAGGACAGTTCATAGTTTTGTAGGAACACTACACTTTCGTGAACAAATACAGAATAAAATACGCGAAAATACAAGAACTAAAATAGATAAGCAATAGTTCAAGCATTCTATGGAAAAATAATGAAAAATCAATATAGACATACTATATATTCATAGGAAATTCTCAACACTTAAAAAAAAATTTTTTAACTCAATTTCTGCGAGTTTATAATGTGAAACACGATGTACTATTTCCGACTAATCACATGCAAGTTACTTATTTCAATTTATGGTGAAGCATATTATTTTACCATCAGTTTACTTAATCCTCCACAAATGCAACAAGGAAGTAGTTCATGTGATATACTTCAGCACACCTTTTCAATCGTGTTTCACAATATAGGATTGTCATTTGTAAAATTATGTCTTTGTAAGGAAAATATCTTTAGAAAATCGACTGCAACTATGTTTTCTAGGGGTATATATATATATGTGAAGTAGTAAAGCATACACAAAGAATCTTTGCTGCTTTTTGAGTTGAACTTACATAACAAGACTGTGTTAAATTCTATTTAGGCATCATCCATCTAGGATGTTCACAAGAACCCGGGAAGGAGGCGGCGGCCAAATCGAGTGATATGCACAATAAAAATGTATATGAGGAGAAGCGTAACATCAGAAATAAGTATAGATTTCTGAAAATTGTACATTATTCTTCTACCGCACACTATGCCAAATCAACCTATCCAGGTGTATGAACAAAGTTACATTTATTCCGATTTTTACATTACATAAGACTATTCCATTCTTTTTTTCTAAGTGGCCATTTATGTTTTATTTTTTCGTACAATAATGGGGTCACTTCGAAATTAAGATTATATTTTCAAGTAACCAAAAGACATTAATGTCAATGATGATAAAAACCAGACTAAAGTTCTTGACTTTGCTAAAATTTTTCACATTTCTGCAAGACGATAATATCTGGTAACAACTAACAACCTTCAATGAACGAAAGGACGAAAAGATCTAATGCCAGGTGAGAGTATACTGCTTGTGCCGATATGATTGCGGCTCTTGTCTTGAATGAAACTATTTTTATCCATATTATACTAGACTGTTTCTTTTTAAATGTATAATTTTAAACTCCATTGAAAGGATGAGATGCAATTCTAGTTACCTTTTCCTGAATGATATAGATCGAACCAAAATGAACACGCTCATTCTTAGGCTACTTAGCACGAAGAGAAATGCGTATGTTTCAGAAAGTTGAGTTTATTTTATCAATAAATAAAATTACTTCTCATCACTATTTTTTAAAAACCACGAAGTAAGCATCCACTTGATGCTAATAAAGTAAAACTTATCTCTCAATGATTGATCGCAGTTTCATAGTACGTGTTCTATAACATTTTGCTGTTGTGTTTGATGATATCGAATTTTTCCTAATTTAGTTTCATAATGTTGTTGATTATAGTTCTATATGCTCTGGTTATTTCAACAATAAAATCAGTTAGTAGTAAGTCTAAAAATGTGTTGATAAAGATCAGGTGGTAGCAACTTCACTGATTTCACAACCTTGTAAGTAATTAGTATATCAAAAAATAAAAAACTTGACACTAAAGTTACTCTAGGTTAGTACCAGTAACATTGCAGTTATTTTAATTCTGAAATAAGTATAGACGATATTCTTTATTCTTTCGAGAATTCGCTACCTTTTTGGTTGGAAACACGTATGGTACCAGAAATAATGATAAGATGTAAACTCAATGTCTGCTGAGTAAATTCACAATTTATGAAAAATTTGCATTTTTTCTTTCTATGAAATAGCCTGATGATACTCATGTTCTATTTTAGTTGTCTCTCACAATTCATAAAAAATGGAATAAAAATAAGGACCCGCAATTCGGGCTTGGTTTACAATTATATACTTCAGGAACAAACATAAATAAGTTCACACATCGTTTAGAAAAGGATGACGTAAAAGAAAAGTGTTGCAATCATTTTTTCACATCGAGTCACGAGAATCTTAAAATTTCGATAAAATTTTTTCAAGTTCTTCTACCGAAGATAGGAGCATTATTGATTTAGAGCCACAAATATTTGTATATTCTGTTCAATATTCATTTTTCTACAATAAACATAGAGAAAACACACTATTGGTCAAAAGTGACCATGTGCATGTAGAGGGAAGAGGGCAAGGATTTTAAATGAGCTAAATCTGTGGATGTTCTTTGTATATGACAGTTTACCTACCCATTCACGACGAGTGCCTCTCTTAGTTGACATGTAAAAACAAAGTAGATTTTTTTGAAAACTGTCAAAGTTGGAGCGCAAACAATAATCTCATCCTCTAGGTATCATGTTGCCACGAAAGAAATTTCTGTGAAAAAAGAATTAGATGTATTGGAGTTTCACATCTGAGAAAGGAGACAATCGTTTCGCCTTAATCATTCGGGACATTAGATCTACGTGACAGTAGGTGAAATTTCAGCTTTGAATGCATTCATTATATTTTTTGAAAACCGATTGGTCATATACTAGAAATGTAGTGAAATACTTATTACTCAGCCTTGAAAACGCATGGACATTAATTATCTGAAAGTTAGAACAATCTTCTGATATCTTACCGATAGTTTAACGATGAATTCAACACTTTCCTTTGTTGACAACAAACTTTAATAGCAGAGCGTCTTCACCTAAAAAAACATTTTTCCAAACATAAACATGGAATACTTAAATGGAATAAAACTTGATTTACACTCTTGTGAAGGCAAACTCACGATCGTACCGGTAGAGCAAGCTTTTGTGTATGGTATGAAAGAATCTCTGGATTTTTTTCTCACTCCTTTCTTTCCTCGTTGGATTGTTTTTGAAAACACACGTCATTGCAACGATTATATAGCCATGAAGATTAAAAAAACATACCACAAAATACAGTACTTCCGAATTGTCTTTCTATTGCACATCATTCACGCATGTATGCAGTTTTGACAGCGACTGCATTTATAAGCATACAAGAAAATGTTTTCTAACAAAAGAGAAAGAACAAAAAAGTAAATAATTGCAATATTTGGTCGTAGGAAAGTGGGAGTGATGAAGACGGTATTTTGTTTATTTTTCGGTGACACTTAAAGGAACCATGCAATTGTCACACAAGGCGGGGTGTGGCTGTGAGTGGGGTATGGATGTTTTAGGGCTTGACATGCAGCTTCACTCACACCCAATAATAATAAAAACAGTAATTATTTTAAAAATTTGATTACATATTTAATAGGGTGTGGGTGTAACTGTAGATGGGTGTTTGTCTTTTGTTTACCCACACCCACACCCCGTATTGTATAATAGGAATATTTCGTGTAACAATAATATTGTTGTTTTCAAAAATCATTTTGAAATTCTTTGAACTTATCAAGAAGAACATTTTTTTTTCATCATCCCAACAGCGTGAGCTAGATTTCGAACTTTAAAACAGTCAATAGAGGAAGTCAAGATGTACTCAAAGGTAACCAACGTGAAATATCAATTAGATCTCCAGTAAAGTAAAAATATTTTGTTAAACTTTTCAAATTTGATATGTTTTTCACGACTCTTTTCAGTGCCCTGAATTTATTCTGAAACTGAATCATAGTCTTTTGTTTTAGATGAGTAACAGGATGATTATTAAAATGACTGTAACAGATTCTCCAAAATAATCCATTAGAAATATCTCGAAGATTGAGATACTTTGACATTGGTGTATATTCTAATAAACGAATGGGAAATGCGGAGTCAATATTTTTGAGAATGGTTCGATTCTTATCTTTTCTCGACGAGATCGTTCTTGTTCAATTTGTTCAAATTATTTTAATCAACTTCAATTAATGTCAATGATCCAAGACTAATAAATTCATCAAGTTTTCAATTAGGTCGACTTAATATCAGGA